AAGCCAGACAGTCAGTCAATCTGTCAAATAATTAATCAACACCAATCCATCAACCAATCAGTTAAATCAATCAATGAATCAATCAGTCAGTCTACCGGCCAACCAGCAGGCAATCAACCAACCTGGCTGATGAGCACGTCGTACTTGATTGGGTAATGACCAACAGGATTCTCCAACAACACAGTCGCCATTTTGTTACCATCGTACAGAAAGTTGATGAAACTACAGAACGGCGTGACGTCACTTCCTGGATCACGTGATGACGATGGTGATTGTTGCGATTTCGACGATGACGAGGGCGGTTGCTTCTTAGTTGTTGCCGCTGGTGACGAAGCTGCAGCTGCTGCAGAGGCAGTTTGTTTGTGGGGAGGATGCTGAGATTTCGTCGGAGATGTTGTCGTTGTTGTTAGATTACTTTGGTGAGGTGACATCACATGACCTTGACCTTCAACCTGGTGACCTTTGATGATGGCCAGCCTCAACTCGTCACCTTTAATGTTGGATAGTTTCTGGTGGTGGTGATGAAATCATCATTGTAAGTGAGCATTTTTTGACCTTATCATCATCATCAGCACTATCATCTTAACTACCATCATCATCATCATCATCATCATCATCAAGCGTCATCGTCATCCTCATCAAATATCAATATCATCAAAAAACCCACTTTCTCCTTTTCATCCTTGACATCCCAGTTATTGATGACAGCCGTCCGACCAACTGATAGGTAATCCTCCACTCTTCTGACTGGCTGCTTGACCGATGACGTAACCAGGTCAAGAAATTGGGTCATGACCTCGTCAAGGTGACCCGTAGCGTTGTACAGGATGGTTATGTCATCGCTTGGTTTTAAGGAGGCCTAATGATGATGATGATGAGGAGGAGGAGGAGGAAGGTCGGAAATGGATGGGAATGACGTGATGGTGACGATCCTCGTCTTCATCGCGAACATCATAATCACTTTAATCGTCATCATCATCATCATCATAACGACAAAGATAATCATCATCACCATCGTCATAGCAACAATGATAATCATCGCCATCCTCATCATCGTCGTCGTCGTCATCACCTTTTTCCTCAGTTTTTGTATTCTATTGATGGCCTCCCTAGCGAGTCCCTCATCCAACATGGAGCTATCGGGAGTTGTGTCCAAAAGAACCAGGATCTTGTATACGGTATGTATGTTTGTATGTGTGTGTGTGTGTGTCTATGTATGTATTATTATTATTACTATTATTAGGAAATTTATCAATTTATTACCGGGAAATTTATACAGGCAGTATGTAATGTATGCATGCATGTGTGTGTGTGTGTGTGTGTAACCTCCCCATCGGAGTCTGCCTCAAAATGATGTTGCGAGCCACCATCACGTCCGAAATCATACATAATCCTCAAGTCTTCCCCAGTTAATTTGTGTCCGTCTACTTCAATTTCACCTACGTTTGTTTGTTTGTGTGTGTACGTGTATGTCTATACGTGTGTATGTGTGTGAACGTGTGTGTACCGGGATGATAACCACCACTAACTAGTAGCCTGGAAAACTTCCAACTCTGTATCAGTCAGCTGTTTGATCTGAGATTAACATCATTGATACATCAGCATCATGTTCATTTTCATCATCATCATCATCCCATCATCAACGTCATCCCCATCATCAAACATCATCAAAGTCAGCCCCCTAGCAACAAACCGACCTTGGCCATGACCCCTTTGAAATCACCCTTGAGTCTGGCGCCTAGAATTTTGTGGTCTGGTTCGGCCCTTAATGTTACCTGGTACTTTTTCTTGTCATTAGTCACCGTTACTACCTTCACGTTCAATTCCTGTATGTGCATGCATGTATGTATGTAAGTGTGTATGTGTGTGTTATGTGCGCGTGTGTGTACGGTTTTGTATGGTTAAGTGTGTACGATTAATAATGTATGTTACTTGTATGTGTATGTTACCTACATACAAACAGATACCGACACATTCATTCACTGCATTTGTATGTTGCATACATCCCCAACACACAGACACACAAACACAGACACACAAACACACACACACAAGCACACCTCATTGATATACTTCTGCAAAGATATGATGGCATCAAGGACTGCTTGATCCTTGTGGATCACTACAACTTCCTTCAAGGGATACTTAGTGATGGGTAGTCGTGAGAAAAAATTATTGCAAAAAAATATTATAATATATGCACACACACACACACACACAAACACACTCACACACACATACATATATATATATATATATATATATATATATATATATATATATATATATATATATGTATATATATATATATATATATAAAGTAATAATATGCTAATCATGTTAATAGTAGATATATAACATCAATCATTTGCATATCAAGAAACAAGTAAAACCAACCAACCACAGAAGCTCAACCAACCGACAAACTGACTGACCTTAATGGGCATGACATTCCTCTCTCTGATGACCCTTCCAAGGTCGATGACTGCTTGCATCCTTAACACAGCTGCCTCTATGGACACATCAATCAACTGCGTCCTACAATTACAATAACTGCACCTCTAACAACTAAGATTACACTATCAATTCTGAACAAAAATGATATTAATATCATGATTTTACAATCAATCAGCTAACTGATCAGCCAATCAATCAATCAATCAATCAATCAATCAATCAATCAATCAATCAATCAATCAATCAATCAATCAATCAATCAACCAACTATCCGACCAAACAGCTAACCAACCGACCGATCTGCCAGCCAACGTATCAACCAACCTAGCAATGGCAGCATAA